TGACTGTGGGCCAGGCAGGAAAACTCTAGCTACACTTCTTTATCACAGAACCCCTTATGTAAAACCAGGTTAATCCCTGGTTTCCTGGTCTACGAGATTTAGGAACCAGATGTCTCACTGGTTAAAGGTTACACTGATCGCAGCTTCTCTTTTTCTTTTGTGAGCAGCTACCCGGTTCTCTGCCTTTTCACCCCAGTCCTGTCCCTACCTGTGTTCCAAACTCAGGTCTCGCTCCTCCCAAGGTCAGGCCTGGTGAGCAACAGGTGCAGCTATAGCCGTCTGCGCAGGCACAGTGACTGGTAGTATCTGGGAGTGGCTGTCCAGAGTCCTGCTGGAAGGGTCTTGAGCATGGAGAAAACTAAGTCAACTCACCCCTACATGGTTTTTATCCGGGTAAGAGGCTAGAGGTGGGGAAAAGGAGGTGCTGGGGTGCTAAGTTAGAGGGTACAAGAGAGATGAACAGACACAGAGACCAGAGCGCATTGGGCCAGCAGACATTGTTCACAAGTTCACACAGAGGCCAGAGCGCATTGGGCCAGCAGACATTGTTCACAAGTTCATGGTTCTGAGAACTGAAGCCTGGTCCTCAGCAAGAGCAGAAAGTGCTCTTAAGTGCTGAGCCATCTCTCCAGCCCCTGCAATGGTTGATTGTCAGCTTCACACACTGGGTAGGGAGAGCCTCTGCTGAAGGGTGGCCTGCATCATATTGGCCTGTGGGCACATCTGTTGGGCATTTGTTTTCTGTTGTATGATATTTTGTTTGTGTTCTGACAAATAAAGCTTTCCTGGAGACCAGAGGGTGGAGCTAGCTATTAGTTAACCATAGAAGCCAGGCTATGGTGACTCCTGCCTCTGGTCCCAGCATTGGGAGGCTCATACCTTTAATCCTAGCACACTGGAGGTGGAAACAGGATCTTGACCCCCCTTTTGGTCACAGGATTGAGAGAGATAAGAACTCTCTGGTGACTGCAACCCACAGCTCCAGAGAGACTAGTTAACAGGGAAAGACCCCAAATCAAGGTCTCCCATGGGGAGTCAGCAGAGCCCCGCACACTGAGCCTAGGCAGGTCCAAGCCCCTCCCCACTGCACCAAGGCTGTGCAAGGTGTCACACCACAGTCACGGGCTCCCAAAATCCTGCCCATGCACCAGGGGCAGAACCCAATCCCCCTGCCTTGATGCCCCCCAAATGGTTCGAGTCAAACAACTGTCTTCCATATCCAGAGGGCCTAGTCCAGTCCCCTGTGGGCTCCGCAGCCACTAGTCTCCAGTTCATGGGCTCCCACTAGTGTGATCAGTCATCTTTGCACGTTTTCCCATCATGATCTTGAGTCCCCTGCCTGCAGAATCCCTCCTCTCTCATCGATTGGATTCCCATAACCCAGCCCTGGCACCTGGCCATGGATCTCTGCATCTGCCTCCATCAGTCACTGGACAAAGGCTCTATGATGACAGCTAGGATATTTGCTAGGCTGGTCACCAGAGTAGACAAGTCCAGGTACCCTCTAGACCACTGCCAGCACTCCCAGGTGGGGTCATCCTTGTGGATTCCTGAGAGCCTCCCCGGCACCCTGCCTCTTCCTATTCCCATGATGTCCTCATCTATCATAGTATCTCCCTCCCTGTCCTCCCACTCTGTCCCTGTTTCAGCTCAAACCTCCCATTTCCCTAT